CTCCACGACCTCCGCGATCGCGAACGGAGTCCGCGCGAGGATCGCGGCGGCCGCGGCCGAGTCCTCGTGGGTCTCGGAGCAGCGCTTCGCCACGAGCATCGCGATCGACTGTTCCATCTGATATGTGCGCTCGAGAATCTCGGCGTCCATCGCGAGCTTGTAATCGAGCTTGAGGCTCTCGAGGCACGTCGTGATCTCCTTGTCGAGCTTCGTCAGCGAGTTGACGCGCCCGCTCTGGAGGAAAGCGCGCTTGAGCCAGCCCTCCCGTCCAAAGGCGTCGACGGCCAGCTTAAAGTCGCACAGGAGGCATTTCAGCTTTCGCATCTTCGACTCCACGAGGTCCGCGTTCCCGGATTCGAGCTTCGCGGCGTTCGCGGACATCTGCTGCAACGCGCCGAGGACGTCGACGACCCTTCGCCCGGCCATCAAGACGTCGTCCGACTTACGCAAGTGCTCCTCGACGGAGCGGAGGATGTCCTGGGCCGCCTCGCAGACCGGACCGATGACCGGCATCACGCGCCCCGCCGTGAGGAGGACGCGGGCCGCGGTCATGCCCCGCGCGACGACGCCCTCCGACTCGCGCATCAGCTGCTGGTCCCGCGCGCTGGGCGCGGGCGTCTTCGTCGAGGCGGAATACCGCGCCGCGCCCGCGACGTTCCACGCGCCGCCCGCGAAAGCCTCGTCGCGATCCGGAGGCGCCTCGACGTTGAAGTCCGCGCGAGCCGCGGCGGCCTTGGGCCGGCGGCGCTTGATGCAGACGCAGGCGATGGCAACCGCGACGACGGCCGCGACGGCCGCGGCCGCGACGATGATCGTGTCCGTGCTGGCGCCGCTGGTTCTGCCTCCGGAACTCGTCGTAGGCGAAGCCGGGGCGGGTTGCGGTGCGGGTTGCGGGGCGGGTTGCGGGGCGGGTTGCGGGTTTGGCCGCGGCGTCGGCCGACGAGTAGGCCGGGGCGTGGGTCGGGGAGTAGGTCGGCGCGTAGGCCAGCGCGTAGGCCGTGAAGTAGCGTCCAGGCACTCGACCCGAATGACAGCGTTCTGCACTTTTTCGCCGTCGTTAACTTCCCTCCAGATTGACGTGACGTCGCTGGGGTCCGTGGGAGAATAATCGGACCCGAAGATCCCGCCCGCATTGACTCCGCATCCGCCAGAACCAATGATCCAATTGCTGGTAGTTGGGGACCTCCAAATGTACTGATCGTCGCTGTTGGAACAATCACGACACTTGTAGTAAGGCAGATCTTCACAATAACTCCTAAACTCGTACGTGCCATGGCGTGTCTGTTGATGATCAGAGCCGGATACCTTGATCGTCTCGCAATGGCTGTAGCGGCTCCCGCCGTCGCTGTAGTCGCTCCCGCCGCCGCAAGCGCAGCACATGGCATTCGCATCGAAGTCCGAATCGTCGAAGTTGCCGCAGCTCGTCCTGCCGTCGTACCAGTCGCACGAGTCGCCGAAGGAGTCGAGAGCCGACCCGGACGTGTCCTCGCAGTAATCGTCGGAGAGACGGCGCGCGCTCTGCTCTTCGGACATCGAATCCTCAAACTCGATCGCCGAGGTCGCGACGAGCGACTCCTGGCCGTGCGAGATGTCGTCGAGCTGCACGGGCTCCTTGGACTTGACGAGGTCCTGCGCCGACGCCGACGAGCGGAGGAAACGGCCCTTGAGCGAGGCCGCGGCCTCGACATCCGAAGACGACGAGTCGCCGGAGAGCGCGACGAGCGACTCCTGGCCGTGCGAGATGTCGTCGAGCTGCGCGGGCTCCTTGGCCGCGAGGAGGCCCTGCGCCGACGCCGACGAGCGGAGGAAGCGGTCCTTGAGCGAGGCCGCGGCCTCGACATCCGAAGACGGCGAGTCGCCGGAGAGCGCGACGAGCGACTCCTGGCCGTGCGAGATGTCGTCGAGCTGCGCGGGCTCCTTGGCCGCGAGGAGGCCTTGCGCCGACGCCGACGAGCGGAGGAAGCGGCCCTTGAGCGAGGCCGCGGCCTCGACATCCGAAGACGACGAGTCGCCGGAGAGCGCGACGAGCGACTCCTGGCCGTGCGAGATGTCGTCGAGCTGCGCGGGCTCCTTGGCCGCGAGGAGACCCTGCGCCGACGTCGACACGCGGAGGAAGCGGTCTTTGAGCGAGGCCGCGGCCTCGGCGTCCGAAGACGACGAGTCGCCGGAGAGCGCGACGAGCGACTCCTGGCCGTGCGAGATGTCGTCGAGCTGCGCGGGCTCCTTGGACTTGACGAGGTCCTGCGCCGACGCCGACGAGCGGAGGAAGCGGCCCTTGAGCGAGGCCGCGGCCTCGACATCCGAAGACGACGAGTCGCCGGAGAGCGCGACGAGCGACTCCTGGCCGTGCGAGATGTCGTCGAGCTGCGCGGGCTCCTTGGCCGCGAGGAGACCCTGCGCCGACGTCGACACGCGGAGGAAGCGGTCTTTGAGCGAGGCCGCGGCCTCGGCGTCCGAAGACGACGAGTCGCCGGAGAGCGCGACGAGCGACTCCTGGCCGTGCGAGATGTCGTCGAGCTGCGCGGGCTCCTTGGCCGCGAGGAGGTCCTGCGCCGACGCCGACGAGCGGAGGAAGCGGCCCTTGAGCGAGGCCGCGGCCTCGGCGTCCGACGCCGGCGCGCCGAGGTTCGACGACGAGGCCGCGACCTGGATGCCCTGGTGGGCGGCGGAGAGGAGGGCGATGGCGGTGAGAATGCGGAGCGGCATCGCAAGGACCTGTGAGACGCTGAGTAAACCGCGAGGTGATGAACAAATCGCGAGGAGGGCGATGTGGCGCCGACCGAAGACGAGACCGAGGGGAGGCGGGAGCGAGATGAGGGCCAAGAGGGCGCGGGGGGGAGGCGCGGAGGAGAGAGCGAGGTAGTTCGAGACGCGGCCGCGTGCGTGCGGGTGAGTTGAATCGTAGATGATGAGCAGTAGATGATGAGCAGTGGGAAGAATGCTCCTTTTCACAGTGCGTCGCTTATCCAGGGGGGTTTGTGGGGTGCCGGCGAGCAAAGCCAGGCTCTTTTTCCCCTCACACGCCATCCCCTCGCCCCCTCACGTGCCCCCTACGTGCGTGCGTGCGACCAGTTTGGCCGGGGAAGAAAATCGCAACTTGGGAACACCGCCCGCCGGACTCGGGCACTTACATAACGCCATCCGCCGAACAGGAAACAGCCAAGAGCAGACCTCCGGCAATTACCAACTACAACACGAGCGGCTTCGTGAGGTTGTGGCCCGGGCGATCTGGTCCGCGAGCCCCCTCGAGGCCGCGATCTGGCCTCCGGGCCTGCGGACGTCGAAGAGCCTTAGAGAAGAGCCTCTACCGGCGGGATATGTTACCACACAGCCTCCAAACCAGCGCTGGCAGACCTCGAAAAATGACCAAGGAGATCACGAGCCGCGGCGCCAAAGGAGATCACGCGCGCGCCCGCTTGCGCGCGCCGACGTCGGCGGCGTGGGCGCGCTTGCGGACGCCGACGAGGCGCGCCACGAGGTCGGCCTTGAGGCCGTCCTCGGAGTCGGCGCCGGCGGCGCGGAGCTCCGCGCGGAGCTGCGACACCTTGAGCCGCTTTGCCGCCCGCAGCGCCGCGGCTTCGTCGAAGTCGTCGTCGTC